GCTAAAGCTAAAGACATGTGTTACCGGATTCCAAAACCTTGTCGCGGCATGGAGGAAAGGAAGGTGCAGCGGAGTACGGCCCAGCGTGAATAGTGCATTCAAGCCGAAGCCCTAGAAGTTTAACTTTTTCGAGCCATCTAGAGAAGCGATCCAATTTGTGAGGTTTTGGGCAAGGAGTGCTTCCATTTGGTGCAAATTTGAGCTGAAATGAAGAGAATCCCGAAGCTGGAACTCATATAGAAGATAAGGAAGTGAGTGGAGGACAGATGTCGTCATTTCGGAGAGTCTGCCATCGATGGCCGGCAGTGGCTCATCAATGGCCGGCAGAGATCCATTGATGGCCGGCAGTACTTCCCTCTTGCTCATTGGCTCCCTCACTGAAGACCCAGTTCTCCGTTGCAGTGGAGTCCTATCCCTTGTGTCTTTCAAGGTCTTGTTTTGTCCTGTTGGACTTTGTCGTGTCTTGTTTAAGGCGTATTATTTTATTTTTCTGTGTTAGGTTGTAATTATCTTCCTTTCATTTATCGAGTTGTTGCAATTTGCTTATCGAGTTGTAAACTTGCTAGGCTTTGTTTTGTTTATCGAGTTGTTTTGTTATTAGTCAATTCACTACTTGATTAGTGCAAATTGAGCGTTTGGTTTTCAAAACAAAAACTTCACTTTCATTTACATTGTTGTGTAAAGTAAAGTAATGCGATGCGATGCATGTACAAACAAAACAATTTTTCAACAAAAAGGCTGTTTTCATTCCGTCATAGTTTCTTTTCACAAAAGAGATTGGTTTTAAACCAAATCTACCTAATGCAGTACAATGTGCAAAACTACTAGTAAAAAGGAAAATAAAACAAAAGAAGATCAACATCTGAAGTAGCAAAGTGTCTGGATCAGTGCTGGTGGCCTCAAGCGCGAGAATCCGTCCTGGTCCTCTTCCTGGATGAAGGTCCAGGATCTCCACCATCAGCATCTAACTCTGACTCTGACTGCGGACTCATCGCCTTCTCATCAGACTCATCATCGTCTGGGGTAGGCCTCCGTGAACTAGTCCCTCGTCCTGTTCCCTCTGCTACTCGAGGAGGTGCTGAAGGGCCCACCCCTGCTCCTGTTGGAACACCCTGGGCCTGGCGGCAAGAAAGGAATCTAAAGGAGGGATAATCCACCAAAATGCATTAGTAATCAGAATGTATCAGGTGCAGGAAAAGGATGTACTGTGAATAGTGAATGATTTGCAGTGAATGTATGCCGTGAGTGGTGCATGGGAACAATGTATCAGACCAATGCAGTGTGTAAGCCGTACAAATGATGGTGTATGAAGAAAAGACTTCATGGCACGAAGTGCAGTTTGAGCGAACTTATTGGAATGCTGTAGATACTGAGTAGGTCCATGCTCGTCTGCAGCATCCCTATCACTGAAGCCGTCATCGCCAGAGACTGACGAGTATACTCAATAGGGGCCTGCAAAAAATTGTTGAAATCATTAGTACTCTGCAGAATATTAAGTGAAATCAAATGACTATACAAGGGATGACAGTGTAGTACATACCGGAGTCGGGCCGTAACCTGCGATAAGCTCGTGACTAGCTGGAGGAGGAGCAAATGGAACCTGATAGATCTCTCCAGCTCGCCCTCGAAGTGTCATAATAGCAGGCAGCACTGGCCATCTGGACCCCTGCCTCTCCTCAGGACCTCTCCTCCTATGAGATCTGGTCGCTCTGCCCCTGCCTCTCATAGCTGGAGCCCTCGCTCCCTCTCCTCCTCGGACACCAGTCAAAGGTGGCATCAGATGTGTTTGAATGAAGGTCGCGTAGTCGCCCTCGGTACGGAAGTAATTAATCTGTCTCCAGCCCTACTATGAACTGGATCACCTGGTCGGTGGATAACATATGTGTCTCCCTCATCGCTGGTGGAGGCGCCATCGGTACAAACGGGGCAGGCCACCTTAGAGTCTGACGCACAAAGCGCTCACTCAGAAACCAGGCTCAATAGATCGGCCCCTCGAAGAGGATACGGTACTGAGACATAATCTGGGCGACGCGATACCGATCCTGGAGTCCTGACGGAATCACCTCCCATGGTCGCCATGTAATCTGCGAAAGAGAATCAGCAAGATGATCAGTCGTCAAATAACTAAGGCAGGTGCATTGGTTTAATTGAAATAATCCTATTGCAGACTTACCTCGCCCGCCGCAACCGTGTCAAAGTACTGCCGAAAGAACATGAAGCCCTTCCGAGTCCTACGACGGGGCGGACCGTCATATACATCAGAGAACGGGACCGTCACTGCAGTCTCCTCCACCGGATCTGGAGCAAGCGCTGGGAAGTGTGCATATACCCAAAGCTGTTGAACAGATGTGATCAGTACAGCGTATGAACAAGAATACAAAATGCAGAATGCAGCACAGTACATAACGGGGGTAGGCCTAGAAAAGTGGACATTAGATCCAGTGTGCAGTGTATGGTGTGCAGTGTATGGTGTACAGAAAATGCAAAGCAGAAAGCATACTGTGTGATAGTGAGTACGGAAGGTATAAATGTTGAACAAAGCAAAACGCACAAATGCTAAGCAAAGTAATGAAAAGGGAAAATTAGGTTGTGCACCTCCCAAGCTCGCCAGTAGCCTCCAATCAATCTCCCACGTATCCGAGAAGTAGAGCTCATGTATCCATAAAGAGTGGTGAGGCCGGCTGCGCCCCAGTTGTGGGAATGGACCCGCGGAAGCAGCACCAGGGTGCTCAAGAAGTACAAGCCCACGGTATTCCACCTGTTCGAAAACATGGTGGTGCCAAAAAGGAATAGGAGGAAGCCCCTGACATACTGATCTACCCCCTCATCGGTCTCGGGATCCTCCCCACGGTAGTGCTCCTTGAACCAACAGCATCTAACCATACCCGCTCGTGCAAGGGGTGGACGTGCTCCAAGTAATACATCCCATGCAGCCACCCACTCCCCCATGTCGGGATCTAGGGGAATAGGATCACTTCCCACGCCCAGACCAGTGATCATAGCAAAATCAAAAGGAGTCATGGTCATCTCCCCCGTCGTGGAAAAGTGGAAGGAATTGGTGGTGTCCCACCACCTCTCCACAAGAGTCCCCAGGAGAGGGCGACTCGCTATGATCCGCGTCAGGCTGCAGCAAAATATACCAAAGCCGGTCTCGTTGACAATCCGGCGGACCCTCGCGGGGAGCACATCGTACCAGTCTCGAGCGGTCGTAGCGCCATAGCCTCGAAAGGAGCGAGATCCCTTCTGTTGAAAATGCAGTTCAAATCAAATCAGCAGTGTATTGAAAATGCAGGTCAAATCAGGTCGGCAGTGTATTGAAAATACAGTTCAGATCAGATCAATGATGTATTGAAAATATGGTTATATCTAGAGTAGTGATATGTCAAAGATGCATTTGAATTCAGAGTAGTTACGCATGAGATGCGGGTGTGTACAGTACATACAGGGTAGTGATGTGTAAAGTACAATCAGGTACAGATCAACAATGTATGAAATACAGTTAGATCAAAGCATGCGATGCAATCAGATCAAAACAGCGCAAGAAATGCAAGTGGTCGAAAGTAATACTACAGAAAAACAAAGGTGGTACCTCCACGGCAATGGCCGACAAATGAGACATCGGCTCTCTCAATAAGAGGTCGTCTGGTATATCCTCATCGAAATCGGTAAAAGTATGGATACCTCCTGCCACCGGAATGATGTGAGTCTCCGGATGGTACACCGCGGGGTCGAAGGGACGTACGTCCAATGGTAACGGCTGAGGCTCAACCTCAGGCTCAGCTGCAAACTCTGCTGTTAACTCTATTGGGGGAAGTGCGGGGAAGCCCTCACCATGAGGCACATCGTTAGCCATCTGAGATGGATGCACAAGAATGATGCGAAAATGAGAAAAATGAGCAAAATGTTGAAATTTAGAATAAACTCAAACCCTAAGAGAGAGAAAATTCAAGAAAAGTTGAAAAACCAGGGAAAGTGAACTAACCTCGAGAGAAGATCGGGGGAAATGATCCTTGAATGCGGGAAATGATGAAAGAAGCCTCGGATGCAATTTCTGGTCGGTTCAAATCGAAGAAAGAAAAAAAATCCTTAGTGATGCAAGGTTGAATAGGGTGTTGGGAAACGCGTAAAATGCGCGAATCTAGAGAGAAGGCACACCTAGGAAGGAAGGAAGTTGATTTCTATGGGGGGGTTTGTGAGGAAATGGGTTGGTTTTGAGCCTATTTAAAGACCCACGGCTTGAAAGCCCCTTTTGCCCCAATCTGCCACCGATGGCCGGCAGGGGTACATCGGTGGACGGCAGGATGTCATCGATGGCCGGCAGTGGATGCAGATGGCCGGCGGTGGCCGGCGGTTGTCCCTGGTGACCACCAAACCTTTTCCAGCTTTCCTGATCTATTTGATCTTGGAATATGTTCTCGGGTCCCCACAATCCCGCGGAATGCTCAAAACTTAATTCGAAATGCCTCCGGGGGAACTCGGGAATCATGCCCTCAACATACGATGGTAGACATCCATCAATGCGTGCTAGGTGTATCCTTTTTACGCATCCCAAACCCTCCGAGAGGTAAACCGGAGGTCTCCGTTTAAGATGTCTTTATTAAACATCTTTTTCTTTTGTTGATGTCAACTAGTATTCATCTGTTACGATAAACATCCATCTAGTTCACATGCATTGTCTTGCATATCTCTTATATGCATTGTCATGCATTTTCCATATCATGCATTGTCATGTCATGCATTTTCCGT